GCCGATCCCAGCCAGCCTCCAACCCACTACTAGCTGCTCACTATGACTTACGGCGAGTCGTGCTCGCCTTACCTGTCGCTGCGTACCCTCCAACAGCTATGCCAGGACGAAGGCCACAACTGGCCCGCCCTGTGTGACCGCTACGCCGACGACTTTCTCTCCGGGGCCGACGACGTCACCGCGGCTCGGCGCCTCCGCGACCAGCTGAGCGGGCTCATGAAGGCCGGCGGCTTTCCCCTGCGGAAGTGGGTGGCCAATGTCCGCGAGCTGTTCAACGATCTGCCTGAGGACGTCTGCTTACGTCCAACCTGGGAGCAGCTCAGCGCTGAAGGCATGACGATTCCGCGCCTCGAGCTCCACGCCACACTGATTGCCGCCAAGCTTCTGCGGGCCGCTGCCGACGAGCTACGCGTACCTGTCAACCGCTGTCACGCATGGTGCGACTCACAGATCGTTCTACACTGGCTGCGTTCAGACAGGCCAACCAACAACGTGCTGATTGACAACTATGTCGCCCAAATCCAGGAAATGCTGTCTTCGAGTGTCTGGCGATACGTGCCGACCCAGTCAAATCCAGCCGACCTCGCGACCAGAGGTGCCAACATGACCGGCCTTCGCTCGCAGCGCACTTGGTGGGAGGGCGCCACTTGGCTCGCCGAGGACGTCGACTCGTGGCCCCTAGACCCGCTCCCCACAACGAACTAGCATTCATCAATCTGCTGCGTAGTGCTTCCTCGTTACGCATTCGTCGATTCGTCCGGAGCCACTTGGGCAGGGGCCCCGTGCTTTCGGTCGCTTCACCTCTTACGCCCACCGAACTCCACGACGCTTTTCTCGCGTGTGTACGCCTCAGCCAGAGATCATTCTCGGCCAACCTCCAGTGTCTTCGACGGGACGAACGTCTGCGGAAGACGAACCCCTTGGTGCCGTTAGCAGCCTTCCTCGATGACGACGGGATTCTGCGCGTCGGCGGGCGGCTCGAGCATTCGCCGCTGACCTACGAGGAGCGGCACCCGCCGATCCTCAGCGGCGCCTCTTCCCTCGCTTCCATGGTCATCGCCTGGGCGCACTCTCGGGCGCTGCATGGTGGATACCGTGCCTACGTCTGTAAGCGCGCTTGGCTCCTCGGTGGGCCCCAGCGGATCAAGGCTCACCTTCGCAGGTGCGTCGTCTGCATCCAGCTGCGAGCGCGACCGGCGACTCAACTCATGGCCCCACTGCCGTCGTCCCAAGTCTCCCCTTCTCGTACCTTTACCTGCACCGGAGTGGACTACGCCGGCCCTTTCCATGTACTCTCCGCCAGAGGACGAGGAGTCCGGACCACGAAAGGCTACATCGCCGTTTTTGTGTGCCTCGCCACCAAGGCCCTGCACCTGGAGCTGGTCGGAGATCTCTCAGCTGCGTCCTTCTTGGGCGCCCTTCACCGATTCGCTGGACGTCGCGGTCGGCCTGGCGAGATATGGAGCGACAACGCGACTTGCTTCCGCCGTGCTGATGTCGAGCTGTGCGATGCCTTGCTGACAGCCGAGCTGGACTGGGGATTGGTCGCGGGCTCTCTCGCCGATCAAGGAATTGCTTGGAAGTTCATTCCACCGGGCGCTCCTCACTTCGGTGGCTTGTGGGAGGCCGCCGTCAAATCAACCAAAAGTCACCTCCGGCGCGTCATGGGGTTACGCCATCTCACCTACGAGGAATTTTCCACGGTGCTCGTTGGCATCAAGATGGTCTTAAATAGCCGACCTCTGACACGGCTGTCTGGAGACACTGGAGACCTCGATGTTCTCACCCCAGGGCATTTCGTCGTCGGTGGCCCTCTCAACTCCATCGTTCTGCCCGGCCCTCCTGCGGAGAGCTTGGATGTGCTCGCCCACTGGGAGGTCGTTCGGGGGGTCCGCGCCCAGTTTTGGTCCCGCTGGAGCCGAGAATACCTCAACACACTCCAACAGCGGTCATAATGGACTACTCCTCGCCGGAACCTCATCGTCGGCGATGTGGTCCTCCTCCTCGACGCTACACTTCTGCAGTCCAGCGGCCGATGGCCGATCGGCCCTGTCATCAGCGTCCACCCGGGAACCGACGGCAATGTCCGCGCTGCTACCCTCAAGACGGTGACTGGCGTGTACGAGCGATCCATCACCAAGATGGTCTAGCTGCCTGTGTCGGCGTCTTCCGCGGCTCCACCGCCTCCAGAAGACTCTCCGACCGACCCCGGTTTGGCGGGCGGCATGTAGTTCTTCGATCCAGGATCGAGGCGGGCGGATTGTTTGGTTTCGCGCCCGAGCGCGACAGCCAAGTGAGGCGCTGCGTGCATTTTCACCATGCTCACGAGCTTCCACCTTTCCAGAAGCCGCCTCTGCGCTCGGGCACTTGAGCACCGCTCTCCGAGACGACCGGACGCCTGTCCCGCTCACGCTCACGACGCCTCTCACGCTGTAATCAGCCCTCTTGTAAACCACCGAATAAAGTAGTATACTCTCACCCGACGTGTTCCACTAAACAAAGAGAATACTAAGTATCACTTCGTTCGTTTTCGTTTTTTTCTCTTAAGTCGTGTGGAACCCATGTTCCTGCCTTTGCAACTTTTTCGGTCACTTTCCAATGTCCAACAATTGTTGTTCGGTCGACTCCAAGCACTTCTGCCAATTCTTGTGGAGCCCAGCATAGATTCTTGTCGAGCAAAGTATGCAAATAACTGCCTAAACACTTTTCTGGATGACCTCCACGTTCACGGTCATCAAAACACAATTCACCACTTTTGAACCGTTTCTACCATCTAGTAACTTGGATTTGATACCAAATTACCATCAAAAACTTTCTTCAATAATTTAAAGGCATCTTTCGACTTTTTTCCTTGTTGATATTTATAAAGAAGACAATGGCGAAAATGTTCCTTACTTAGAGACATTGTTAACCTCGTTTCTTTCTATGTTTTAAGAAGTCATATAAAAATTCTCACAGCATACTCTTATGGCTTAAGTAGAGCGCCACGAAAGGGCATGGAAAAATTACAAGTTTAAATAACTTTTCAGCCTATCGGAAAAAAGTTGCATCGTTTTTGCACACCCCCAATATATGCTTTTGTTATCAGCATATGAAACATCACCTAATGTTTATTGTGAATTAATCACTTATATTCATCAATTACACCTAAACAGTAATAGGGAAACCTTATTTCACACATTTTCTGAGCCATTGGACCATGCTTGGAAATGTGCACGTGAGAAATTAGTTTCCCAGAGATGCAAGCCAAGTGAAAAAAGGCCGAGTCAAAATTTGACGTTTGAAGCCAACTGTAAAAGTTGTTTTCCCACGATATTAGGTTTTTAAACGATACAGCATTACAATGACTGATGCAAGGTGCACACACGGCAAGGATCAAGTCAAGCATAACTTACTAGTGTTAACTTGTAAGGTCAGTGCATTAAACACACGATTAGTTAAGAGCTTATCAAATAGCAAGAATAAAAATTCTAAAATGTTTGACGCTATCTTTAGCAATGTTTTGTTGGTCTTAAAGCCAACCTCATCAGGCTCATTTTATTAACAGAAAACCCAACAAACACATCAATCTCTTCTTAAGAAGTTGTTTTAACAGGTATTTTATAAAGTTGATTGATTTTTTAATTTAAATTGTAAAAAATGACTTTGAAAAAATCGTATATTTTAAACTTATAAGAATATGGAATTACTTCGTCATCACGCGTAAATCCCTGCTATGAAACTTAAGTACGTGTCTTGTCGAAGCCGTAACAGCTTGTTTATTTTATTCAAAAATTACACTTGTTAAAAATTTATTGGCAATCTGACTAACGTAAAAGATCCAAAAGAAAAAAAAATTATTTCATAAGGAGTGACGCTCAACCGAAAAACGATTAAATCAGCCTCCGTGTGACCTGTAGCAACCACATACTTAAAGTATGATTCTGAGATGCTTAAAAAAAAAAAAAAAAAAAAAAAGATAATATATTTACAAAAGCATCTTTTAGTAATTAAATAAATTTTTATAAAAACTATTCATATAAATTCGAAATTTTCAGCGTTTGCTAACATCCCTCAAAATAAGTTTGCTTGATCTTTGTCTATACATAAGAGTATATCATTAACATACTGCTTGTATACTGACGGAACGCATTGATAATTTCCTTACGTAAAGCTTCTGTCTTAAGGTTTCTGATAATATCCCAACTCGTTGGGCTGCCACGAATCGGTAAATTTTTTTTTATCAATAATAAAGTAAACATTATTGAATAAATGGTTCGTACACTTTATGATTGAATGATAGGGAATTTGAGATAATTTATGGATTTTCGTGTACCTTTTTTCTTAACTGGTTATTACTGATATTAATAAAATACTGGTAAATAAGAGAAATAGAATTTAAAGAAATAAAAAATATAGTCTAGAGATATTTTAAGATTTTTCATTTGTTTTATAAGATCAAAGCTATCATTTAAATGTAAAAAATATTTTCCAAATAGTTTAGAAAGAAAACCACACAATTATAGAGACGACATAGAATGATAGGTTTAAACAAATTTTACTGCATATAAAAAATAACTCCACAAAGGTTTGCAGCAGGTCATCGTAAGATGTTAACATCAAACCGTTTAAACACTGTTTAAGTAGAGTATCATGATGAAGATAAGGTCATTGGTGCCCTTTAAATAAAATATAAGAGTAGTACAAACTTTTTTTCAAAATATATGCAGTCTTATTCCATCCACAAAACGAATGTTGATGCTGCGTCATGCTTACTAACAATTGGTTATTGAGGTATTATTATGCAATAAAATTTGATTAAAAAAAAAAGATTTAAAAAGAAGTAATAGTGCATTAATAGATCGCTAAGCAAGTTTCGCATAGCTGCCAACTGGATTCTGAGATAACATTATATATTGATAAGGCAGTTACTGAAAATTTATGTTGAAGAAATACATCAAATACAAAGAAACTTCTAAGACATACTGTTAACCTTATTCATTTTTAAAGTGTATACTTACAAGTAAACAAATAATCCGATAAATGCAACAATAATAAATCTCAGAGGAGAAGAGTAAAAATAAATAATACTGAACATTATAATTATCCTTGATAACATGTAAAACTTATCCAGCCAGTCTCTATTATGTTCTGGTATCATTATTTCTCTATCAATATCATCTTCTAGGTTATTATTATCACCATCAACAGTATTATTTAAAATACGAGAGTTTCCAGTGTTGTAATAAGAATGCATTTTGTCCATAACATTTTTGCTGTTTATCACTAGTTCATTATTAATAACCTGGTTTAGCAGTACAAAGCTTACACTGTAGTTATGCGTTGTTAATAAAAAATCATGTTTTTGAAGATTAATAGATTTCTGCAGTATGCTAGATGATATGTACGACTGGCTGAAAATAAAACAGTTTATTAAAATATATAATAATATGGCACAATATAAGAAATGGTTTGTTGTGTTTTCATGAAAAATTAAATGCTACTGTATTATGCGAAATATTTTCTTTAAGAGATTTATTTCTATGGTCATAAACTTTTAGTAAAAGCCTGAACTTTTTGTGAGCAAAATAAACGTCTTTATTTCTTATAAAATTGAAAGAAATGAGTGTTAAGGTTTCGTTGAAGCAAACATTTTGATACATCATTAATAATACAAGTTATTTTGTAAGGTGTCATAGAAGATTCAAAAAAGAGTCTTGATAATTTAAAAAAATGCGATAGCTTAATATAACTTCCAGTTTTTATGTTCAGTAAGACATTGCCAGAGGGGTACCCTTGAAAAACCACCTTGTATGATTACAGGGATTCAGAGATGGATATATAAAATGTTGGTAAACTAAACTGATTACTTTTACTTTTTAAACAGGAAAGAATAAGATAAGAGTGAGGTTGTACTGAATACATTAAAATTTATTGCAAATAAGTTTCATAAAGATGCAGAAAAATTTGGGAAGATTATTTCCGTAGCAAAGAGCCAAAAACTTTTTCAAGTGATAAGTGATTTTTGATTTCTGAGCGGATTTAAACTCGGTTTTTCCTAAAATGTGTTCATGGCCCTGTTCTAATAAATACCATGTAAGGTTTTATTATGTTGATCATAATATAATCACTCTCTTTCATCACACTTGTATTTTTGATTTAATTAGACGCAAAACAATTTGAGTTTCGCAAAATATGTTAAAAGTAATCTCAAATGTAAGACCCTGTAGAATAGTGAATAATTGTATACAACGTTGACACACTCTTAGATTTCATGTAAGTGAAAATCACGTATCAAGTGATGACATACATCATGTTTGCGTATGTTAGTTGCATGTGTATCGTATCGTGGTGGTGGCATAAACGAGTGAAACTTACTGAATTCATTTAATCACAGCACAGGTTATTGTAACTCATTCTTTGCCCCATACCGTATTTGCTTACAGCTACAACTACCACCACTACCATCACTATGCCACACGATGCAAAAAAGAAAGCAAGCAAATACGGTTATGTAACAATGATGTAAGCAATCATATCAACGAATATGATAAGGAAATACTGATAAAAATAGTTAGGTGTTACTTGTAATTGATATAATCTGATTGTATTAATCATGTTTTTATCAGTATTGCTTAAGAAAAAAATTAACTGTTAAAAGGTCGGTGTTCGGTGCATACCAGTCACTTCGACGAACGTGAACAATTTTCCATAGAACAAAAACATTTTTTATGAACTGCTTTTAATTATTTCTTGTGATAAAAAAATCGTTTGCGTGATTTTTTTATTCAGTCGTGTGGCACGAGGTATGTTACAAAAAAAGATGAAATTTTGGCAATTGCGCTAGTATTTATTTCAGATTTCTATAATCCACTTTTCAAAGAGACGAAAATAATCTTTTTAGTAGAACGCCTTATGTATTCTGTTTTTATTTAGCTTCTTTTTTCCCATGCTACAGCTTTACCAAAATACATAGAACACAAACTTATAAGAATAACGAAAATAAGTCACGTGTCTCCAAATGCTCAAATCAAAATCATCAAAATTTCTCTAGTTCAAACTTTACAAAACTTTCTTATCTTTAAGTTAGCTTAGTTAAAATGTGAGGTGTACTCTTAAAATTATGCAGCGCTGCCAACAGCATGATGTTGGCTACAGGTACTCTCCGAGTTCACACTATCCACAGCAGACAATATATAGCATTGCTAAAGTATATGCCAGCTTGGAAGCTAATTTATATATATATATATANTATATATATATATATATATATATATATATATATATATATATATAATCAAATTAAGCATCTCAACGATAATAGAGGGTTCAACAATCAAGAAAGTATGACTTTACTTTACGGTTATAATGACATTAAAATAATAAGTCGTTAAGATTACATTTACTCTTACTAATAACAAGAGCAACAAGCAGCTAACTATCTTCACAGCATGAACTCTATGTAATGCGCGCATTCTTTAAACTATTTAAAAAGTTAAGTTAAATGTTTCTTATGTAATATACTCCCACAGAGATGACTGCAGTATTTACAAACACTACAACTTTCCTTCCTTCATTCAGACTCGAAGATAACATATTAGCTGAATTATTTTCAAAATGAATTTTTATGATATTTTTATATTTCGTTTGATGGTTGTCGTTTATATTAAAATTTTCATAGTTGTACTTTCAATTTTCCCTAAAATTTCTATACTTAGCTACAGCAACTATTCCTGAATTATCCTCACATACATTTAATGGTTTTAATATTTTATTTTAAGTTACACTCCACAAAACTTTAATAAACTGGATTTTAGTTACAGCTTTTAATAAAGCTGTATATGATGCAAATGTTAAAGATTTAGTTACATTATTTTATTTGTGCGTTTTAAAAAAAATTAAATTATGATACAGTTCTATTACATATCGAGTCATTGATTTTCTGTCAATATCATTACCAGCCCAGTCTGATTTTCTATACAGTTTAGTATTTCGCCATATTGACTATAAATAATTGTAAAATAAGTACACATCTTTTAATTTAATGAAATATTTTAAAACTTTCATTGCATATCAGTAATGCATCTCATTGTAAGAACTCTAAAATCTACTTTAACCATTTAGTTTTTGTACTGTATGTTATGCTCAGTTTTTTTCCTTCTCTTAATAATAAGTAAATTCATTCACTCCATTTCTGTATTTTAGTATTCTCTGCAATGATTTGATTTTTTATTTTTTAAATTTGTCTTTATAACAGTATTATAAAATCTTAAATTTTTTAAGTTATATTTTATAACTTATTACTCATAGTACATTACGTCACTAGGGTACAAAGTACAAATATAAGCGCCCAAAGGGCGCGGTTGTTGTTTGCTTTTGACCGAGCCACTTGTTTTAATTTTCTTACCGAGAGCACGAAGTGCAATTTTGTATTCAGTAAATCATTTTAGGCCCTAGGACAGACAGATAATTGGGACCTAGATGGTGGAAAAAACTTTTTTGTCCGTGGTCTAAAATGATTACAAGGGCGTAAAGTGTGGCCTAAGGGCAGCTTAATCGATACATTTTCTTACCATTAGCACAACGTGCAATTGCCACTTTGCGCTCTTGTCATTGCCTTAAGCCCACGGGCAGAAAAGTTTTTTGCAGCCTTCAGGCCTAAAGTGATTTACTGGGCGCAAAGTATGCGCACTGACGCAAAACTGCACTTCGTGCTCGCGGTTACAAAAACATCATATGTTACTCAGACACAAATATACAACCACCACACTCTTCGGGTACTTATGTTTATACTTTGAGTCCTAGTGACGTAATGTACCATTTCTTGACTTCGTTGCACAACGTGTTTTTCTTTTATATAATTAATTTTAATAACAATATAATTTTTTTTTTCCTACATCTTTCGTTGTAAATTTTTTGTTTACTCATTAATTTATGAATTCTGTCATATCAAAACCTCGAAATTTCTTTTTAATCATACATTGCTCATTTTAACGGCTTTGATTCTACTGATTTTATAGCTTTTAGGTTAATTTGTGTACGATTCTGATTTTACTCGTCTATTACGCAACGTCATTTCAAAATTCATTTGATCGATAAATAATCAAATTATTCTTTGCTAGTTTTTTCTGTTAATTTCTCGGCATTTAATTTTTTAATACTTGAAGTATTGTTCATGTATATTCTCTTTAAGTTTATTCTTTGTAAATATATTTTTGCTTTACTACCGATTGCTATGATTTTACTTACTCTTCTCATTTACGACATACTAAAAATGTTTCTTTTTATTTCAGGTACAATGTAGAGATTAGTTAAATTGATTTTTGTTTTATGTTTACAATTTTCAAAATATATATTTATATTCTGTGTTTAAGTAGCTGCTATGATTTTACTCTTGATAAACTTTTATTTAATTGTTTCTCTACTAGCAGGTAGTAAAATCTAGGGGTTAAGGGATGATTAAACGGTGAAATCACTTTGAATCACTAAGCCATTAACATGTTTTTACCTTAAAGTGAAAAAAATATTGAGAATCAGTGAAAAGTTATGTTATAGTGGAGGGTCGTGAGCGAGGGAAGTAAAGAGAGAATTGCGAAATAAAAAAAAAAGATGTTACAAAATAAATTGTGTTTATAATGTAGTAAATATTTAACGAAATGAAAGTAAATGTAGTGAAGAAGTGGTGAATTGTAGGGCTCATGAGAGGATGGGGGCATGTTATGGCTGCTGCTTTGCCTCAATTAATTTCCTACATGATGTAGAAAGGTATACATGTCCATGAAAGGTGACTTTTACGTAACATTGGAAAGTCAGACTGTTTGCATACGTACGAATTTTTCCTTAAAATGACCATTGCAACTTTTGTCATATTTAAAGGTGCCTGCGTAAGTTATTTTTATTAATACACAGATATACTACTGTACATATATAGTCGAAAGGAGGCTCATAAAGACGTCACCACCTCCTTCAGCCCCTACACCATTCTTTACTTACCCTCACGTAACTTTATAAAAATTTTGAATATATTATGCGTACAACGCGACACTTCTTACAACTTTACAATTTGATGTATCCCTTCTTCGCCTCTCTCACAGTTTAGTTCATAACAATATGATTTGATACCTGTGAAAAGTTTTCGGAATTGAAAAATTTATAAAAAGCAATCTAATGCAGCGCAATAATAGTATAAAACTTTAAACTGATTTGAATTTTGATATTTGACTGCATCTAACAGATTTACGAAACAATTTTCCAAATCACACATACTCGAATAAGTTATCATGATTTGTAGATCCAATAGTATTCCTCTTATTGTTTTCTTTGGGGAATCTATGTTGGAACAAAAATTATAGATGTGATAAACATTTTTCAATTTCACAGTATCATACATACAAATTATTTTTTAG